TTCTGAGACACACCAAAAAATATATTTTTGCTGATATGACCAAAAAAATAGGAATAACTTTGATTCATTCATACCAGCTATATGCCAAAGAGCCCTAAATTAAGAGACATTCTACAAAAGAACTAATCCATACTCTTCAAAAATTTTGAGAATTTTCCTTATCATGAAAGACAAGGAAAGACTGAGGAACTATCCCAGATAAGGATCCCAGTCCAGAAAAAGGACACTAATGCAAAAACTGGTAAAATCCAAAAAAAAAAAACCAAAACAAAAAACCCTGGTAAAATCTACAAATTAATAGCATCTTATCAATGCACAATTGCTGGTTAACTGAGGCACTATATGTAAGACATAATATTCAGTTGGTATGGGTGAGGTACATGGGATCTCTGCAGTATTTTTACAACATTTTTGTAATTGTAAAATTCTTTCAAATTAGGAAATTAAGAGGGAGAGAGACAAATAGACACAAACCCTTTTAAAAACCTGGTTTGATAGGAATCCCTCCTCCCCTGGCCCTTCCTGAGTCTGACCCTCAGTCCCCTGAGCCCGCAGGTGGCTCTAAAGCCCTCAGCTCTCTCAGGGCAGGGCCTGAGACTCCACAGGCAGAGGCCCAGAGCCGTCTGCTCCAGCAACCTGCTCCAGTGCCCAGTCAGCTGAGGTGATCGTCAGAGCCCCTCCTTCCCACAGAGACATGTGCAGGGTGCTTTTGAGAGTCCTGGGTGGCAAAGCATGAAAGGGCATCAGGATGTCACTGGTCCTCCTGGCAATGGAAGGCGAAAAACCCAGGGGCTAGAATATTGGAAGATCAAAAGCAGGACCTTGGAGGACTTCTTTTTCAGTTTTAAAACCACCAAATTTCGTTAAACATTTACTTCATGAGAAGAAATCCTGATAGTAATGTAAGAAGGAAGGAGTGGTGAGAGGGTAGGGGAAATCTTGAGAAGGGAAGGTGAGGGGGGCGGGAGGAGAGGAGGCAGAGAGGGAGGGAGGGAGGGAAGGAGGGAGTAGGGGGGAGCGGGAGGACGACAACGCAGATCCCTGCCTGTGAGCAGCTATCATGTCAGCGTGGAGTCCAGGTCTCTATCACTTATTCCCTGGGTGACCTTGTCCTAGTTACTTAATCCTACTGTGACTCAATTTCTCCATATGTAAAATGGGGGTAGTAACTATGGCCCACCTTGTGGGATCATTCAAGGATTAAAAGAATTAACACAAGTAAGTATTTAGAACAGTGCCTGGTACATTAGAAGTGCTAAGGATTAGTTATTAGATTGAACCTTATGAAACTGCCAGTATTTGACCATTTTGACCTATAAAAACAATCTCATAAAATGTAACCTAACATTACCATCATTATTCTATGACACCAGCCCAAGCTGAGGGCCACAAGTGACGGGGCCACCTCTGCCATGAAAGAGGGTGGCCCAGCTCTGCTGGAAGTTCTCATTTCAAGCATCCCATGACCCTGAAGACCAGACCATTCTGATCCTCTGGCACCTGTACACAGACATGCCTCAGGTTCCCATGCTCAGAGGCCTCAAGAAGGAAGCCTGTTTAATGCGATCCTCCTATTGTCAAGTTTTGGTTCCAGCTGCCAGGCAACTGCTTGGCCAGGGAGAAGCAAGTGCCCATCATGGGGGCTCTGGCCACAGCTGGAGCACTGCCCTTTGCCCCTACACCTTCTGACACTTCGTCTCCAGTCCCATTTGTTCATCCAGCTTGGCAGTTTCACCCAGGGTTAGCCAAGCATGGTTTACTCAGGTTAAGCTAAAATGCACTTAGACTTGAGTTTCTTAACTCTGTCTTCACTTCACTGCTTCCCATACTCACAAGTATACTACAGGGAGCCCTCACTGTTTTGAGGGCTAAAGCACAGTTCACCATTCTAACCAAGTCACGTGTATTAATTTGTATAATCCTCATAATAGCCCTAGAAGGCAGGTACTCTTAACCTCATTTTACAGGTAAGAAAACTGAGGTATCAAGTGCCACTTTACTTCTTAAGTTTGCACATCTAGAAAAGCAGCAGAACTAGGATTTGACCCCAAGCAGACCAGCTCCAGAGACTGTGGCTTAATAATGCTCTGTTCTGCACAGAGCTTTAGGGGGAGTATTGCTGCTTCCTGACACTTTCCACTGGCTCCCCTCACAGCTGGCTCTCCTTCCTGCTGTTTAAGGGTGATAAAGGGTTGGTCTGCTTAAACCGCCACAACTCCAACTTTTACCTCTGCAGTGACTTCATCTGGTTTTCCTTCAAGTCACTGCAGCTTTTAGCCCTAAAACTTCTCTCTCCCAGGCTGGGCCTTCTTGGCTCTCCTGGATACTTGCATTCATTCACAGAGCTTCCTTTGCAGTGATTTGATTACAAGAGGCCCTTTACTCTGCAGAGGTCATGGGTCTGTATCTCACCATCTGACACAATGCTCTTGTGCCCTATGCCACGCTTGTGCCTCCTAAAGGATACCTCCTGTCTATCCTAACATAGCCAGACCCATTTTTTTTCTTTTATTATTCACAGAATTATGGAACTGTGGGGCTGGGAGGAGCTTTGTAGATTACCCAATTTCATTGCCTGTCCTATTTTGTTTAAAAGAAAGAGGTGAGACTCCTCTCTGAGTAGGACTGCAGTGTTATACAAAGCAGCAGCCAAAAAGCTCCATTATTATTCTATGGATTATTGCAGAAAGACCTAAAATCCATCAGAAGATCGAATATGCTATCCAGGAAGAACATCTCTATGTCTAACACAGTTGTAAAGTCGTAGACTATTATCCTATGCTCTGTCAATATTGTGAATCACTAAAAGCCATTCCTGGAATCTCCTCTATGTCCCTGAGCTAATCGGGGAAGCACTTTTATCACATATGACAAGGCCCCCTGAGCCTGGCCCATGGTAACTAAATTAAATCTCACCCTCTCAGTATCCTGCTCCACTTCAACCACATCATCAGAACTGATAGCTCACCCCAGCACGCGGCCATTGGCAGCCCCTTGTGCTCATTTATCCTGGGATGTCACATACGCTGCTTGTCGGCAGAAGCTGTGGCTCTTTATCAGCTGCCTGCGGCCTTTACACCACAGCTAGCATCTATTCGCAGAGGCTCACTCTTCCCTTTTTCTTCCAAAGCCCTTACTTGGGCAGGTTGGGGCCTGTCTTTCCATCTACCTGCTGAGCAAGTTTCTGTCCACCTAAAACCAGTTATGAAGTGGTCCTCTTCCGGGGTCACATGGAAATGCTGCTGCTCTGGAGAACACCTATGTTATTTCCTAAGGTCTAGTTAGATCTTGGAAAAACAACTCAGCCTTCTCTGGCTTTCTTCCCCCTGCTTTAAAAAAAAATAGATGCCCATTTGGAAGAAAAATCCTTAGTTCAGAAATGTACAAAGCAGAAAAACAAAAGCTCACCACTGTCTCCAGAGATAACGACCGTGAACAGCCTCCAGTCCTTTCTCTCTGCAGACTACAGACCCTGGCAATCTCTCTCCTCAGACCCATTTCCCTGTCCCCAAGCCTCCCGGAGCAGCTGCCTGGCATTCTACCACCTAACAATTGCCATTCATCCTCCCGAGGCTTCCAGGATGCTGCACTCACAGGTCACCCCCTCTGCTTCCTTTGCTCCATCTCCCTCTTCTCACTGGCCTCCTCATGTGCCAGGGTTCAGGCCTGGTCCTCATCTATCCCTCTGCACTCACTTCCTTAGGGATCTCATCCACTATCTTGGCTTTAAGGAGTAATAGCTGAACAGTCCTAAACATGTACATCTAGTCCAGACTTCTCTTTCAAACTTCAGACACATGAGATTTATCTGTCTACTCTACCTCTCCATCTGGATGTCTGACAGTAATTAAAATTGAACATGCCCAAAATTGGACTCCAGATCTTCCTCTGTACACCTGCTCCTCCTGCAGCCTTCTCATAAACTGTGAAGTCATTCTGACTCACCCCTTTCTGTTAGGCTTTATACCCAATTCAACAGGAATTCCTGTTGGCTCTACTTACAAAATATATCCAAGATCTGCCACCAGTCACACCTCTACTGCCACCATCCAGGTCCAAGCCACCTTCCTGTCCCACCTGGAGGACTACAGTAGTCTCCCAAGTCCATCCTTGCCCACACCCACAGTCTACATAGAAGTGAGTGATCCTTTAAAAATATGTCAGATCGTGTCCCTCCTCTGCTCAAGACCCACTTACAGCTCCCCTTCCACTTAGAGAAAAAGCCAAAGACTTTACAGTGTCTACAAAGTCTTCTGTGAGTTTTCTGGCCTCCCCTCTTCCTACTCATTCTCTGAGCCACTCTGCTCCAGGACACACGGGCTCTCATCATGATTCCTTAAACAGCAGGTGTGCTACTGCTTTATGGCCTTGGCACTGGCTGTTCCCTCTGCCTGGACTCTTCTGCAGATGACTGTATGACTGACTTCCTCGCCTTCCCCAAGCCTTCGCTCAATGTCACCTTTGCAGTGACCCTATCATGATGACTTCATTTGAAATTGCAACCTACCCCTCCACTACCAACTAATAATCCCTTTATTCTGCTCCACATTAGAAAAATTTTCTTACCACCCTCTAAAATTCTTTTTAATTTACTATGCTTTTGCTTATTATAAATCCCTCCCCAACTATTCAATAGTATGTAAGTTCTATGAGAACAGAGATATCTATCTGTTTTACTTTTCAAAACATATCCTATGCCTTCAACAGTGCCCAGCAGGTGGCACTGAAAAAATGCTCGTGAGTGAATGAATGAGCGGTCTCTTAGGGCTGCCCAGGCCTGCAGCAGCCTTTCAGGCACTAAGACCTTTTCATTCTGAAGAGCTCTAGGTTCCCAGGACTGCCTGCCGAGTGAGGGGGGCAACCTCTTCTGAGCACCCCTTCTCCTTCCTTCTTCCAAGCCAGGGACCTGCTGTGGCACCTTCTGTCTGTTCAGCCCATTAATGAGACAGCTCCCATTCTGATGCCCAGCCCCAGTCCAGGCTAAGCTCCTGTCCGCTCACCTGGAAGTCCTCCTCATCCAAGATCTCTTTTCTCCACTTGATCAAGAAGGCTGCACACACATAGAGATGGAAGTGGGAGAACCCTTCTGGTTCAGACTGGGAAGGCAAAGAACAGAGTTAGGTCTCCAAGCCCCGACCAGCAGCGGGCCTAGTCCTGTTGGGTCCAATCCATTTGCAAGGTGGGAACGTGGCACAGCATCCCTTTCACAGCCGGGCAAACGGAGGCCTCGAAAGACACAGCAGAGGCCTTGCTGTGATGCCGAGGCAGACACACAAGGAGAAAGGAAGTAGGGGAACTTCAAGCAGCTCCACTCTATACCAGGGCAGGGAGAGGGCACCCCAGAGACAGCCGGGCATGGAGAGGGCAGGGGATCGCTTTATACCTGGTACGTGTCCCACAGGCGGATGGTGCAGCGAAGGGGAAGCTCCCGCATAAGCAGGTTGTTCATCCAACGAAAGGCAAACTGTAGGTATTCAACCTCGTACCTCCTGAAGTGATTATGTACCTGTTCTGAAACAGGAAGTGTCATTGGCCCCGGAAGCACAACGTGGTGGATCAGACCCTGAAAAAGTCCCATGAGCCAAAAAGGCAGTTACCATTTCTTCCCCACCTACCCCCAGCCAGATGGGGGGGCCACGCCAGCACTGACTGCCCAGCATGCTTGATTCTGCCATGTCACAGCAACACTGCACAAGGAAGTATTTTTATATCCCAAAGTAATGGTCTAGGTGTCTCTTTTCCTTCGCAGGGCTGCTCTAGCCACAAAACAGGGGACATAAGGTTCACCTGGCTGTCTGACCTTACTCATCAAAGAAGGAGCCAGAATGGAGAAGAACTGAGGGTCACCTTGGCCACCCTCCCGCCGGTGAGGATTTCCTCCTCAGCATTCCCGACAGATGGCAGCCAGCAGGGACTTAAGCCCTGCCACTGAAAGAGGTTCACTGACTCCACTCAAGGGCAGCCTCTTCCGCTGAAGTATTAAGCGATTCACCAGAAAGTGCTTTGCCACATTCAACAGAAACTAGCTCCCTTAACTCCCACCCCTTGGTGTTTGTGTGATATTCTGGAACAACCCCAAAACAAACCCGATCCCTATTCTACATGACAGTCCTTCAAATAATACTTAACAGAATTTTTTACATCATTATCCTCCTCAATTTCCTAACCTATAAAAGGGGGATAATCACCCATACCTTGGAAAGTTTGAGAGAGGGTAAAATGAGAAAATGAAAGTGCTTACTTATAATAGCACCTGCATGTGGTAAATACTTAATACAATTTTTGAAAGAATAACTATTAACAATGGTTATTTCTGGTGGGTAGAATTTAAGGAAAGGGGAGAATTTTTATTTTATTTTGTGTTTTTCTGAACTGTTTAAATTTCTGTAATAAGTATTACTTCTATAATGCAAAGGATAAAGATACATACATTTAAAAAACCCACTTTCCTAAAGTATATGCCTGTTTTTAATCATCTATATGTGAGGGCAGAAAAAACAAGGCTAGGGCAGCCAGTGGCAGAAACCTTGGCCTCGGCTCTCTGCCAGCCAGCGCAGCAGTCCGGTCTCTGGCAGCACGCGCCCAGCACCAGAATCCAGGTGAGGGACGCAAGAGGCCTAAATTAGGGCCCTGCCCTGGGGCTAACAGCTGGGTCAGGGTGATAAGAGAAAAAAATCCCACGTAGTATGTAAAGGAAACAACTAAAAATAAGCAAATGAAAGTGGAAGACTGAAATCCTAAGTCATAAAAGGAAGCTGAAGTGAGTGGAACAAATCAGGGGAGGTTTTCATGAAAAGAGAACCTGGGGAAGAAGAGAGAAAGATATACAATTTCTGTATGGGATGGAAACAATACTTAGCTAAAGCAGGAAATCCATGACTGGGAAAACCAGGAAATGAGATTAGTTGGTGTAGTAACTGGTGAAGTCCTAAGGAAACGTTACAACTTAACTGGTGCTGCCGATCCCACATAATAGACCTTGCTGTTAGATTCTATGAGTTCTTGAATAAAACCTAACTCTGATGTCTCTCCCTGGGCCTCATTTTCTTCATCAGGCATTAGTAGGATCTCCTGAATTGCTTTTTTATATTACTATTGTATTTTACTGATTATGCTATTACAGCCGCCCCCTTTGCCTCCCTCCACCCAGGGCCCCCTACTCCCTCAGGCAACCCCCCTCTCCCCGCCGCACTGTTCATGTCCATAGGTCATGCCTATAAGTCCTTTGGCTCTGAGTTGCCTTTTAGTTCTAATGTTCCATGATTCCAAGCCAGAGCCAAGGAATTACTATAACGCTCCTGTTATTTCAAGACATTTTGCTTCAGGAAGAGCCACCCAAACAGGTCATGGTAGCTATGGGAAGTCCTGCTGGGGTATCAGCCAGACTTGAGGACTCTGTGTCAAGCCCAGAAGTCCTGAGTTCCATCATTACTTGAAGGACAAGGTCAAACTACAGAGTTGATGCTGAAAACAATGGAGAGCCTCAGGAGGTTTCAGAGCAGAAGGGCGGTGTGACCAGAACAATGCTTAAGAAAGATGCCATCGTGTGAGGGAAAGTTGGAAGAGGAAAGGTTTGGAGGAGGCATGGCTGGCCCAGAGCAGTGGCTAGGAAAATAGAGCAGAAAGGGTGAATCTGGGGAGAGATGCTGAAGGAGAATCGATAGAACTTGGTGACAGAAAACTAAGGAGAAAAAAGAATTTGAAATAAGAGCAGAGTTCTCACCTCACCTTCCTGTTGAGATTTGAAAGGATGCTGGGGCCACCAACAGCAGAGAGTAAATCAGGAAGGGTCGCGGCTGGGAAGAGGGCTGACAGGGGCACCCACAGCATCACTTGCTTCCATCAGAATCATACTGTGCTATTGCTAGAGAACCCCCAGTCCTCTGGACCTACCATCAATCCGGCTGACAAGCTCTTCCAGCGCCTTGACCTTCTTCTGGATCCCCGGTTGTGCAAAGGTATAGTTATCCTGCCAATGACACAGAGTCCAGGATAAACAGGGACTCCAAACAGTCATGCTACCACCCCTCGAGTTCACAGAAATATGTTTAAAAGCGCAAGCTGTTTTTCCAAAGCTGGTGGCAGTATTTGAAGGAACAAAGGAATCTCCAGAACACCAGGGTATGGGAGAGCCTAACAGAGCTGTTCTCTTGCAGAGGCAAATGATATGGCCTGGGTGCATAGTGGAAGGAAGGAAGGAGTGCACTCTTACGTCAAAGCCAGGGCAACATGGAGACTGCCTGCAACTCCAGGGGACGCCAGACCATTGCCTGCTGAAAGTTGTAAAGCAAATGAAAGAGGCAGAGGTGGATGGACCAACAAGGGGAGGCGCCATGCCGGGTGGGGGTGCTGTCTGATACAGAAGAGCAGTAAGGAACTCAAAGGCCTGCAGGAAGCCCTGGACCCGGACAACCCACAAGGACAGAACCAGCTCACCTGGATGCCATCCAGCAGCTTGCTCATGCACCAAAAGCTGTCAGCTTCAATGCTTCGTAGCATGTCCTGAGACAAATTGGTCACATCAAAGTTCTCCACATCCTCTTCTGTAAAAGAAAAGGTGAAGAAGGTCCAGAGGTCTTCTCTAAAAAATGGAGAAAGATGGAGTCTAGTATCCTTAGTGGGGCCCATTGGGCCATGAGAGAGCCAGGCTAACCTCATGACAAGGAACAGGGCCTGCCCTGCTCCCCTTTCAGGTGGGCAAGCGAAACCCAGGAGAGTTCTTAACAAACTCCTTACAACACTGAACAGGCCATTTTTCACACCAAGTTTGCTGGGTCCAAAATATCTTTCTCTTCCCCTGCATCTGTTCATTTCGTTTTAGAAAAAGACACTTCAGGCCTCTTGTTCAATGAGCTATACACCCAGCCCCCTGGACACGGTCTGGAAAATTTGATTTCAGAAATTCAGCGAGCTGTCTAGCACACTCATATGTAGTGAGAGCAGCTGGGATCTGTTAGCCCCCATAGCTCATTTTTAAAGGTGGAATCCCTAATTTCTGACTAGGCAGACCCACGGCCTCACCACTCAGAAATGATGACAAGCGTGTGAAGACAGACCAAACCTGTGGTAGCTGCTAGGGTTTAATTTCAATGAGTTAGTAGTTCCTAAGTTCCTAAGATGGCCGTGTAAAACATCAGTCCTGAAGGGTACTGAAAAAAAAAGGGGGTTCCATGGATAAACATGGTTGAGCAATGCTGCAGTACATATCCTCATCTTGGGGATTCATAAAGGACCTAGCCTTATGGAAAGTCATTTGAGAAGTTGTAAGAAATTCTCCATTGAGAGGTAAATCTGCTTAGGGGAAGGGAGGGCAGGAGAGAAACATCAACATGAGAGAGAAACATCTGTCAGTTGCTTCTTGCATGTGGCCCAACCGGGAAGTGAACACACAACCCAGGCACATGCCCTGACCGGGAATTAAACTGTCGAGCCTTTTGCTTTGTGGGATGATGCCCAACCCACTGAATCACACCAGTCAGGGCATGGGACCTCTTTTAAAGAGGACCATCAATTAGCTCTCATGGAAATCCCGCACTAAGTAATAGGAGTGAGAAGTCATCCATCTAGTCTGAGACAGGCCAGTGGCAAGAACATAAGGAGTCCTCTAGAAATCCGAAGGAGGAAAAGGCCATATGATGTTTCCTTCCTGCTGCAGAGAGGTAGAAGTACTAAGAAAGGCTCTCCTTGACCTGAGAGGACAGGCCACCTCAACCCACAGGCTCCTGCATGTCTGTCAGAGGTCACACAAGGGAACATTTAGGCCCTTGAGTTCTGTGCCAAAGGTGGCTTCTTCTCCTTAGACTCGTAAGCCCCGTTTTGAAAACAAGAAATTTACTGCAGTCCCTGGTGCTGCAGAGAGACAGGCATCTGACAAAATGTATTCAGAATCCAGCCCTTTCATTTATGAGAATTACTACCAAGACCTACAACTGAACCTCCTCAAGACATGTAATAACAACTCTCAGATTCTCCTCTTGTATAAACATGTTTAAATGGACATCAAGAGCTGTAAAAACCCTTTTGGGGAAGGGGGAATGTTTTATCAGAAAACCTATAACCCTGGAAACAACCTAGAAGTCCAACTTGAAGTTCAGACACAGGTAAATATATGTTAATACATGTAAAATGCTACCGACAGGGCCTGGCACACAGTAGGTACCATACAGTTTTAGATGTAGTTTATTAGGAATTTGTAATAACATGGAAAACTATGTCACTGTGTTAAGGGAAAAAAACAAGGTTCACAATTATTTACAGTATACTCTCAACTACTGTACTTATGTGTGTTTACATAAGCACAGTGGAAAGACAAAATACATCATAAGGTTTACAGGGCTCATTCCTCAGATGGTAGGGATAAAGGATTTTTATTTTCTTTAAGTTTTATTAGACTTTTCAAAATTTTGACAATAAGTATAATTTTATAGTCAGGGGAAAAAATGTATTTTGTTTTACGAAATAAAGAGCTACAGTTGACTACACCTGCCTTTTATCACACACACCAAAAAAAAGAATAAAGAAGTTTTTCTAAAACAACACAAAGCTTGCAAAAACTAATGCTGCAGATAGTATGTAAAGGTCCATTTGAGAAATTATACTGAGGGGAAAAAAAACCTTCCTAGAAATATCATCTTTCTTTTTTCCTAACTTAAACACTTACTATGCAGTGTTTTCTGGGGGGCGGCCATAAAAATACTATTGATTTAGTTAAATGATAGTGAGCTCTGAGACCCAGCTCAGAACTTTCTTTTTCTTCTTGCTTTGTATTACTTCTCTAAGCTCTGTGCATGCGGCTGTACACACTTCTAGTTCACTGCCCCACGTGTGCCACCTCCCACTTTACCTAGCAGTTCCCCAGGCACAGATACACAGGTGCCTCCAACTCCCACTACCACAAACATGCCTCGAAAAATTTTCCCTTTCCCCAGTACGAGAACTGCCCTGGGCCACAGGTACTGCCAGACCACTGCCCAGGACCAGGCCCACAGCAGTGCATGAGGAAAGAATGCCATTTCCTTTCTAGTGAGCACAGCTGCTCACACAAACCAACCCACACAATGCTCCCTATTCAAGAGAACAGCCTTCTAAGAAAAAAGTGAAACCCAAAAGGAAGGCTCAGGGCAAAAAGACTCATACACATGCTCAGAGGAAGATCCAGTGTTCCATAATCACTTGAAGGGTCTTTTCCACCTTAGGCATTCTACAGTTCCAGAACATTGCTGTGGAAATGTCACTGGGAATGGAAACCGCATGTAGCAGAGTAAGAAAGAAGAGCGAGCCTGGGTCTCTGAGAACAATGGGCACACAGCTGCCATATTAGCCCTGGTGACTTGTGGCTTTTTGTCAGACAGAATAGCATGTGATGAAGAGCATAGACTCTGGAGCCAGACTGTGTAGCTCAAATCCTGACTCCCTCAATCACTAGCTATGCAGCTTTGGGCAAATCACTTTATCTTCTGAGCCTTGAAATTCCTCATCTGTTTAAGTGGTCATTTCCTACCACTGTCATAAGATAAGGATTAAATAAGTTAATATATAAAAAATGCTAACAGTGCCTGGCACAAAATAAGCATTATGCAAATGTCAGCTAGTATTATTGTTATTAAATGAGGAATAAATAAACTCCTTTCTTGTGTCAGCCCTCTTTTAAAAATTAAATGTATTGTGATGACATTGGTTAATAAGATTCCATAGGTTTCAAGTGTGGATTTCTGTGACACATGATGTGTATATTGCATTGTGTGCCCACCATCCAAAGTCAGATCTTCCATCACCATATATCTGACCCGCTTTCCCCTTTACTGCCTCCCATCACCCTTCCCTCTGTTAACCACCACACTGTTGTCTGTGTCTATGGGTTTTTGTCTTTCTTGTTTGTTCATTTGTTGCTTTCAGAGCCTCAGTTATTTTGGATTCCTGTCATTTGCAGCCAAACTCAACATAATTCCAGAATGTACCTTAAAAAGGAGTCAATTTTTAGTTTCCATTTCTACCACTTGGCCTTAAGGAGAAGATACAACAACGTGGGGTCTTAGGTTGGTAAGATGCCACTCTCAGTAACTGTACCAATTTCAAATATTTAGCTGCCTGTCCAGGGAGCAAGGGGACCAAGAGACAACATGCTGAGACCTCTTAGGGGGCACTGATTTGGGGGCTGTTGTTTTCCTACATTCTACCCCTGTGCCAGGCCTGTCCTTGCTTTCGAAGATGGGGGAACAATTTACCAGCACTTCAGAGAGAGGGAAGAGAGTTTAGTTCTAGTGTTCTGACTGCAGGGAGAATAAAATTCATATATTCAGTAAAAAAAACTGTGAGCTGAGTGCACCAGCAAAAAGCAACAGAGATAGGGAGACCCAAATACTCTTTGAAAGGGGCTCATTCAGCATAAAAAGTCTGTTCAGAAGGATCATTAAATGTTCCACTTGAGAAAATTCAACATGTAATTGAGCTGGGATGCAAAACTATGCCAGCAACATAGTCTCGAATGAGGACAGTGTCTTCAGTTGTCCTTACAGACATGCAGCAGCCAAGGACTCAGACTAGAGGGAAAGAGATTTTAAAGGATATTTTTATGGCTATTTTAGGAGGCAAAGCATCCAAAAAGAGAAAACCCAAAGCTCCATATAAAAATCAAATTGCCCACTCTCAGCTTGACAGAAACATGCCCATTATGCTCATAAGCTGTTAAAATGTTGTTGAGTCTTGGCTCCTGTCAAGTGTATTTTTCTGAGAACTCCAAGTCCTGGGCCTAAAATCAGCCTCACATGTGCCTCAAGAACTCCTCAACAGCTTTGGGTTTTGCCTAAACTGACAAGAGTTAATTGTCATTCACTGCTCTAGGCATTTCCCAGGATTTTCTGGGTCAGAAGGACGTAGCCTGACTGGAAGGCATGAGAGGGTTCCAGGCACCAGATGCAGATGGCTCTGACTTATCGGGTTCTTGTCTTTGTTTGTTTTTAAACTATAGTCATAAAAATACCTTACTTTTTTTTTTATCACAAAAGTAAACGAATTGAGAAAAGGGAAATACAATTTTTTTCAGTCTTACATCTAAAGAACCTCATAAAACAGAAACTTAAGTTTTTCATCCAAAAAACACAATTTTAAGAAAAGTATTGAGGAATTCATCTAATTACCTGTATGTAATAATTCTTACGTGGTTCAAGTGCCATTAAAATGTATTGCTGGAAATTATTCACTTAGTAATTTCAGGCAGGTATTTGATGGTAGCAGCTAAGACAAGGACTCCACTGAAAACCTTAGTATGGAGAGCACAGAGGGCCCCCTCGGCTAACCTCAGGAAAGTCAAACCACCACAGAGATGGGAGAGTAGCAGAGCTAGTCTCTCCCAGGGACGAGGTCAGAGAAAAGACTTCTTCTGAGGTACCTACAGAACAGAGACCCAGAGGGTCCATGTTCTAAACTGTGTGGGAAGAGACGTACTGTTTTAAACACAGAGAAGCAGATGACCATTGAACCCTACCTGACACTTTGCCTGTCAATCAGGGTAGTAACTAAAAGCTAAGTATTAACTCAGAATGAC